CAGTGTGCAATACTTCTATGTATGGGCAAACTACTTCTAAGAAGATTTATAGGAGGATGCTTTAAGTCACATAGCAGTGACAGAGCTGTCAAGGTTACCGCCACCTTCTGGCAGCTTCCAATGGGTTCTATGGGAAGACGCTTTTCATGCAGCACAGTGGCAAGAGCTGATAAAATTCACAGTCACCAAGGTAGACTGCCGTTCTGAGGGCAGCCTTCCATAAGAACTGGAGCAAGGTTCTACAACTCCTTTATTTTTATTTATTTATTTATTTATTTTTTGAGTCGGAGTTTTGCTTTTGTTGCCCAGGCTGGAGTGCAATGGTTCAATCTCGGCTCACCGCAACCTCAGCCTCCTGGGTTCAGGCAATTCTCCTGCCTCAGCCTCCTGAGTAGCTGGGCTTACAGGCACGCGCCACAATGCTCAGCTAATTTTTTGTATTTTTAGTAGAGACTGGGTTTCACCATGTTGACCAGGATGGTCTCGATCTCTTGACCTCGTGATCCACCTGCCTTGGCCTCCCAAAGTGCTGGGATTACAGGCCTGAGCCACCACGCCCGGCCCTACAACTCCTTTATCAGGAGGAGTGGCTCTCGCCCCAAGCCTGCCATACAGCGGGTATCTTTACGATACTGAACGCTGACACCTGGGCCATGGATTCTTGTCCTGGTATATCTGCTTTCCCTTAAATCATGCTCTGCACTGTGTCTGCTCTAGGCATTCCTCCGATTATAAGCTGCTTATTCCTTAATTCATGCTCCGTACTGTGTCCACTCTAGGCAATCCTCCGATTATGAAATAAGATATAGGTATATATGTAGAGAAATATTCTTTAGGCACTCATACTGTCAACTATTATATGATTATATATAGAGGATTATATAAAGGGAGGCTTCAAGCCCGATTTCTATAAACTAATATATGATTATGTAAAGGATTATATAAAAGGAAATAGCTGAGTAGTAACACTATAAAGTGAGATATTCCTCAAGCCCTAACTGTGCCAGGGTTCTGCTTAGCTCTCATTCCTCGGTGCCTATATGGGGGGTTACCCACAAGACTTCAGCCACATTCCTCATGAAAAACCAGACAGCTAGAGTATCACTACAAATTTTTAAAAGATGACTGAGGATGGTGACAAGTGAGTTAGCAGACAGTGGCAACCTCTGGAAGACAGAATCTTCTCTGCTGGTTCCTGGGCCGCTGCTCTGAAAGTCCCAGAACACACACCTGGCCTCTCCTGCATCCCCACTGGCTGTGCCCTGCTCCTGCCCAGAGTGGAATCCGACTCCCAGCTCGCAAGCAGCAACAAGCCGCCAGCTGGCCAAAATTTTTAACTTAAAAAAAAAAAAAATTAGCCGGGCGTGGTGGAGCATGCCTGTAATCCTAGCTACTCAGGAGGCTGAGGCAGGAGAATAGAATGAACCCAGGAGGTGGAGGCTGCAGTGAGCTGAGATTGCACCATTGCAATCCAGCCTGGGCAACAAGAGCAAGACTCCATCTCAAAAAAAAAATAAAGAGTTCATGTGCCTGCTGGGAGACAAAACTCTTAACCAATGACCAATAGTTTCTTCCACAGCAGAATATAGATGTTAGTGAACCAATGCTGGTGACGATGGGTATGGCACTTCTCAAATTATACCTAATGATTTGCCTCAAAATTTATACTTTGCTTTTCCTCAATCGAGCTGGTTTAGATATTTTATTACAATGCTTTCACCAGAACCTACAACAATGGCTTCTATTAACTGGAAACTGAAATTGATGTGGTCTCCTCATACCACAGGTCACATGTTGTCTGGTGACTGATCCTGACTCTCAAGAGGAAATGGGGTTGCTGGTATGCCACGGAGGCAGGAGGAGCAGCACTAGAACCCAGAAAGTCTCCTGGGCCATCTCATCATTCTCATGCCAGGGCAGAAGTTGATGGCAATGTACTGCATCACCTACAGACAATCCACCTACAGGCAACGGCCTCAAGAACGAAAGCTTGCTTAACCCAACCGGGCCAAGAATCCTGGCCAGCTGAGGGGTCACGTGAAGGAAAGAAGGACCTGGAATAGGCAGTGGAGAAGGGAAATCATAAATGCCAATAAAGCGTCATCACCGGTTAGAAAAATGAGGATTGTACCTTCTAATGGTATTTCCCTTCTTGCTGTATTATATATAAATGAAGAAGTTTTAGCTATTGCGCTTTTCCTTCATTTCTTTTCTCTGCACAATTGCATCTCAAGTCTATCAGTGATGCTTAACTTACAATTTAATTTAGTCTACACATTACAACAATGGGATAGGATGATGATGAAACTGACAGAAGAATGGAACATCACCTACAAAAGTTGGACTCTGGGCAAATACAATAAATGGGATTTTGAGATGCCCTGCTTTGGCGAAGGGATAAGTAAATTAATTTTGTTGTAGGAGAGATACTTGCATTTTGTTGGATGGCAGCATTTTCATTTGACTTTGAAAGCATTTCTGTGAATGCTGGGCAGCCTAAGAGATGGACTATAGCAGAGCAACCTTGGGCTACCCAGCATCTCATTCTTATTTGAGAGGAGGCCCACACACACTGAGTCTTGGCATGAGGCTAGGCCTCCCACACTAGAAGCCACAGTAGAAACCAGAACGCTCTTTGCCTATTGGCAATTAGAACATAGGCACCTATCCTAGAGTAGGCCAAGTAAATTGTCCTTCCTAAAACTTGAATCTTCAGTGAGAAGAGTTGAAAAATAATTCACGTCACCACCAAAGGAACTGACATGTACTCTAATCAGAGTACCAAAGCAGGATGGTTTAGCTGGTTTCTAACATTTCCAGGCCTGGTTCTCCAGCTTTGCTGGTGCAAGGAGTATCTACAGACAGCTCCAGGCCGACTTTTCCCACGCTCAGAAACTCCAGAGGAAAGAAAGAGCCTTTCTCCCAACCTCATTCTCTAAAATCCCAGACAAGGGCTCAGATCATCTCAGGTTTGGTCATGTGCCCATCCCTGGGGAAATCTGAGAACAAGAGGGAGACTAGTTGGCCAGGCCTGAGCTCCACACCTCCCCTTCTCCACACCTATCCTGCCTTGGGAGGCCAGAGAAGTGTGGTGCTAAAGAACCAACTCACCCAGATGGTCTGCAGAGAATTCCTCAAAGGAAAGTCTTCCTGCCAGGCAAAAACAAAAGCTGCTCACAACACAAAACTACAGAACGTCAGAACCAAAGGAACGTTGGGATTCATTCATGCTATCCCCTCTCTTATAGATGAGGAAACCATACAGGGTAGAAAATGATCAATGCTCCAGCAGGCACTGTGACTCACACCTGTAATCCTAGCACTTCAGGACGCTGAGGTGAGAGAATCGCTTGAACTCGGGATCCATTCAAACCACCTGGGCAACATGCCGAAACCCCTTCTCTAACAAAAAAATACAGCCTCCCGAATAGTAGCCAAGTGTGATGGCATACGCCCGTGGGAGGCTACTATTCGAGAGGCCTTAATTTTTCTTTCAAGCTCCCTTCATTTAGCTTTGGTGCCCTGGTTCTCTGCCTGACTTGTTCGCCTGTTTGGACTTTGTCCAGTTCTCTGTCCAGCAGAGGTGACTTGGCTGTGGAATTAAGTGACTTCCCTGGAGGTCTTCTGTGTATAAATGCCTTTAGGTAGGCAGCAAATTCATGAAGGCTGACTGTTACTTAATGCACGAGTGGCACTGGGGGGATTTAAATTCTTATTAAAAAACAAAAGCAAACAAAGAAAACCTATCGATGCCCAAATAAAACCATCTGTGGACTAGCTGCTGCTGTTGTCAAAAGTTTGTGACCCCTGGGTTAAACAAAACCTCTGAGCTGTCCTGACAGGTCTGGAAAAACCAAACAAGTCCTTGTCTCCTAAACTACCTGGGACTCAAGAGCTCCATGGGAAAAAAATTGTACCCTGCACCCAGGAGAGGTTGACATTTACAGACACCTGTTTTACGAATTGGGGAGATATTCCGTGAAACCCAGATTGCTGAAAGTGCTGCTGAGAGAAAATCATAAGAAAGGAGGACCCCTTCCCCATGCCAGCTGGTGCTAGTTCCTCTATGCCTCCGGATTCTGCTGAGCAGTAAAAGCTAAAGGGTGGTATCATTAAGCTCCTAGGGGATGGGATGCGGTGGCTCACGCCTGTAACTCCAGCACTTTGGGAGGCCAAGGCGGAAGGATCGTTGGAGTCCAGGAGTTCAAGCCCAGCCTGGGCAACACAGAAAGACCCCATCTCTGCAAAATATATAGATAGATATATAGATATAGATATATGAAAGCTCCTAGGTCTCATGCTGGCGGGGGAGGGAGTGTGCATCCTGGCCTCCCACAGGCTGACTCTCACTTCCCTCCGACTCCATCACCGATTTCCCATCAGAGCAGGCTGCTCGGAATCGCTAAGCAGCGCCCAGTTCATTTTCACGCTCTTCCCATCTTCTGCGAGCCACAATCTCACCACCCTCAAGGCTGTCCTCAACCACCCAGCCTGGGGAGCTCCCCTCTGCTGTGGCTCCCTGCCCCGTCTGGGGCACCTATTCGGACCCCGGTCGCGCCGCGGGGTCTTGCTGACGCGAATGTAAACAGAAACACAGTGAAAGGCGGTGGGACCGCCTCCTGGCGGCGGCGCGTCGGGAATCTCAGTGCGTCCAGCGTAAAATGAACAAAGGTGCACAGGACTCCCGGCGCGGCCTTTTGCGGGAAAGCGCGCTCCGCGGCACCCAGCCCTAAGCACCCCAGGATGACCCACCCTCGCACAACCCCGCTTGCAGCCAAGAGGCAAAGCTGAGGTCGGAGCTCCAAAAGCGAGGGAGGACAGCCGGGAAAAAGTCCCGACTTCCCATAGGTCAAGACGAAGTAGGAGGCGGGCTCCTCTTGCAGGAGCGTCCACGTATTGGTCGAGCCCCGGACTGAGGGCTGAGATTGGCTGCGCGAGACTTCCGACAGCTCTCCGGCGGAGGGAGAAGGGGCGGGAAGAAGGGAGTGGTCAGCTCGTCCAAAGGGCGTGGTTGGCGCTCGGTACCGCCCCGCGCGTTCCGGGCTGCAGTTGGAGGGCCGCGGTTGCTGTCTAGTACCCCCAGCTCGGGACCGCCGCATGGGGTTACTGAGGCCGCTCCGTACGTGCGAAGCGTTCGCGGTGTTGTAGGTAGGCCTGATCTCGCGCGCTGGTGCGGGTGTCCGGGTGCCTGCGGTGCTGGGGGCGGTGGCCCGGGCTAGACTGGCGCGTGCGGCTCGGCCCCCTCCGCCTCCTCTCTCTGATGTCTCTGGTGCCTGCGGGGCCCTCGGCCGTGCGGGCCGCCTTGCCTCGCGTCCCCGCCGGGAAGGGCACAAAGACTTCCTAGGGATGGAGGCGCCTCGTGCCTTCGCCTCCATCTTGCGGTCAGAACGGCGTGCGCGGTCGCGGCCAAGGGGTCGGGACCTAGGCGGGCGGCTGGGCTTGAGAATGCCTGAGAGCGGCAAGGGAGCGCGCCAGTTTGCGCATCTGGTGGTGGAGCAGCTGCGCTCCTAGTCAGCCTGGGCCTCGGGGGAGGTCACTTTCCCTCAGGCCTCTCCCGGGCGTGGGCTGTTTACCCCGCTCCCCAGTAACGCAGCTCGGGTCTCTCCCCCTGGAAAGATGGAGATCAGTGATGCCTTCTTATCGCCGTGGATGCAGCAGCCCCCAGATGCGGAGGGAAAAAATCAAGATGTCTCATTTTTTTGCCTCGGAGGGCTACCCTTTCTAACTGTCGTCACTAGAACAGTTCTCAGCAGCCCGGGACGAATGTCCAAAACCTGTGCCAGGCCCTTGATAATTAGTAGGTTGGGTTTGGTGTATTGTTTGTTACAAAAATGAGCGGAAACCTGCCAGGGCAGATTGGACCTCACTGGGAATTCTTCAGGACCACGAAGGGAGGTAGCGTTTGTATATACCCTAACAGTGCTCAGATCTAGGGTATGAAAAGTGTTGTGTTAAAGTGCATGGCAAAGGGCGTTGGGTCAGTTTGCCTTGAGTTTAGTTGAAAGAACTAGAAGCCACCATTTTTTGTTCTCTTTCCCCTTTCCCACTCTCTGGGTCAGTTCTGGTCCACTTAGAAAACAAAACAACAACAGCAAAAAACCAAGGAATTCAGTTTCACCTCACTTCTTTTGCAAAGCTTTAAATAAAGCACTTCCCTACCCTGTGACTGATAACTCCTACCTGTTTTGGGCTACCTTCTACTGCCTCTATTTTTACACATCACACAGTATTGTGGTTTACCCATCCCCTAGCACAGTGCATGGAACATAAAAGGCACTCAGTGATGGAAGGAAGTCAGAAGAAAACAAAATCAGCATGGTAGCCCAAAGGTGACACAGCAGAAACATTTATTTCTTTAACTTCTTGAGCTATTCTTACAGGCTAGGAAGGCAGCTAAGCTCAGGCTGGCTAAGTCAAACAGACTTTTGCTCTGCCATGTTACTAACTCTGATTCAAAGTTTATTTTTTATTTATTTTTTTATTTTTTTAATGGAGATGGGATCTTGCCATGTTGTCCAGGCTGGTCTTGAGCTCCTGGGCTCAAGCAATCCTCCTGTCTTGGCCTCCGAGTGCTGGGATTACAGGTGTATGATTTAACTTCTCTGTGCCTTGGTTTTCTCATCCTTAAAATGGAAGTAATAATATTACCTACGCCGCCATGTGTTTTGAGAATTAAATAAGATATTGATGTAAAGTGCCTACCATAGCTCCTGGCACAAAGAAAATGATCAGTAGCTGTTAGCTGTTAGCAGTTGTTAGGAGAAAAATAAACGGATGCTTGAATACACTCACCAATATGAAAATCTGTATAGTACTTGACCCTTTGGGATCTCTCTGCTTTTTGGTCCTTATCTGATCCCTTTTTTTGAGGCAGGGTCTTGCTCTGTCACCCAAGCTGGAGTGCAGTGGCATGATCTCAACTCACTGTGGCCTCGACTTCCTAGGGTCAAGAGTCCCTCTCACCTCAGCCTCCCAAGTAGCTGGGACCACAGGTGCACATCGTCATGCCCAGCTAATTTTCTATTTTGTTGTAGAGATGAGGTCTCTATATTGCTCAGGCTGGTCTCGAACTCCTGGGCTCAAGTGATCCTCCTGCCTTGGCTTCCCAAAGTGCTAGGATTACAAGTATGACCCATGGTGCCTGGCCCCTTAAGTGATGGCTGATTTTTTCTTTTCTTTTTCTTTTTTTGAGAGGGTGTTTTGCTCTTGTTGGCCAGGCCGGAGTGCAGTGGCACAATTTCAGGTCACTGCAATCACTGCGCTGCCTCCCGGGTTCAAGCAATTCTCCTGCCTCAGCCTCCCAAGTAGCTGGGATTACAGGCGCCCACCACCATGCCCGGCTAATTTTTGTATTTTTAGTAGAGACAGGATTTTTTCATGTTGGCCAGCCTAGTCTTTAACTCCTGACCTCAGGTGATCCGCCCACCTCGGCCTCCCAAAGTGCTGGGATTACAGGCATAAGCCACTGCGCCCAGTCTGATGGCTGATTTTTAAGCATCCCTTTAGCCTTTCTTGATTCTTTTTCTACAGTGCAAGTATTCCATAGAAGATTGTCTGTTTATGTGTTTGGAGTCTCACCACCACCTAAAGATTGATTTGGTGCCAAATAACAATTTGGCCAAGAGTTACAGTAGTACTTGATAACACTCTTAATGGAGTCTGTTACTTGAAATGGTCATGTAAAAGGAGGCGCTAAATAGATTGGGGCCTTGTGTAGCTGACAAAAAATCTTTACATGGTTGATCCAGCCAGAGAGAAGCAGAGCTTATGGAGGTGGACTATCCTTATAACTTAAATCTATTCTCATGAAGAAACTGTCTTATCTTTAAAGTTGCTCGCAAACATTGTGAAAAGCAGGTGTTCGTGTTGGCTTTAGACCTATTTGCCAGATCTACAGGTGTCAGATACAACCCCTGGGGGACACTGCATCACTTCCAGGTTTTCTTGTCCCACTTTCTGGTTACAGGAAACAGGTTAACTTACACATTTCCTTGTAGCTGTAAGCTCCCTTGGCATACCAGTTTCCAAAACAAATACCTTTCCCCTCCTCACTTATAACTGGCAAAGGAGAAATTCAGGTCTGTGATTCTGCTTTTAGGATAGCCACAGTGAATCTCAAATTCTTTTCTAGGGAATACTATTATTTCTGGGGACTCCTGTGGTATTCTGTAATTAGCCATTAAAAACCTGCCACAAGGTGTGAGCCTTTTCTAGTGTCCTGTTGCAAAGGCCATGAAGACAAGGACCATAAATTTTCTTCTTGTGTGTGGCTGGCACATAGGCACTTAAGGAATGGTTGTAAAACTATTTTAGTTGTTCCTTCTCAGGGTGCTGAAACAGCCTTGCTTACCAACCCAGTGCTTCTGAAACATTATTGCGCTTACCAGGTCATCTGGAGATATTGCTAGAATGCAAGTTCTCATTCCAAGGTTCTGGGGTAGGACCTAAGAATCTGCATGCCCAACATGCTCTGAGGTGATGCCCATGCTGCTGGTCCTGGATTGCACTTTGATAGTGAAGTACTAACCCTAGTATCTACGTTTGCTTTTTTTTTTTTTGAGACAGAGTTTCACTCTTGTTACCCAGGCTGGAGTGCAATGGCGCGATCTCGGCTCACCGCAACCTCCGCCCCGTGGGTTCAGGCAATTCTCCTGCCTCAACCTTCTGAGTAGCTGAGATTACAGGCACGCGCCAGCATGCCCAGCTAATGTTTTGTATTTTTAGTAGAGACAGGGTTTCACCATGTTGACCAGGATGGTCTCGATCTCGACCTCGTGATCCACCCGCCTCGGCCTCCCAAAGTGCTGGGATTACAGGCTTGAGCCACCGCGCCCAGCCCTACGTTTGCTTTTTAGAAGTATTGGGCAAATCTTTTTTTATTATGGTATTGGAATAAAATACTGGATTTAGGAGCTTTTTTCTACTTTTTTTTTTTTTGTTTCGTTTTAACAATTTCTCTATCTTGTTCCAAAAAAAAACTATTTGAGGAATCTTGCCGAGATACTTTGATGTAACAAAATTTTTAATAAAAGCAATTGAGGCACATGGGGTGAAAAAAAAAATAGGAGAAAGTCAAGGGAGAGATTAGCACAAAAGACAAGTACGTCTCTGGCCTATGCATTTTACTCAGGTAAGATTGTGTATTTGGCCCTGAGTTTTGTAGCAGCCAAAGCAAAGAGGGATTTTTTTTTTAAATCAGTTTTGCCAGTACTAATAAAGTGAAAATTGCTGCTGAGTGGAGACAGCTGTTTCTGTTACTGAAGCCAGAGAATTCTCCTATGGGTTCTCCAAAGAGAATGCTATGGTACAGTCAGTGGCATTCTTAATTGTGTCTCTTGAGAGAATCAGTAAGATTCTTCTCAGCCTTCATATGTGTAGCCTGATGACCTCACAGAAAAGTGTCAGGGCCAGGCACTGTGGCTTATGCCTATAATCTCAGCATTTTGGGAGGCTAAGGAGGGAGGATTGCTTGAGGTCAGGAGTTTGAGACCATCCTGGGTAACATGTGAGGCCTTGTCTCTTAAAAAGTAAATAAATGAATAAAAATAAGAACTGTTAGTATAGTAAAAGCAATGGTCTGTGGAAATGCACCCGTGTCCAGATGCAGCCTCTTCTGACAGTGATTTTTGTTATAAGGAAGGTGTTTTTCTGCTTTGCTCTTTGGTGGGAAAAAGTGTGCAGTTGATTGACATATTTAGCCCTCAGCATCCTTGTATGTTAGCTTTGTTACACATGGACATTCTGCTGACTGCTGAAGAGGCCAGAGAGCTTGGGGTTGAGGGGAGGAGTGACCTGGGAGCTCAGTCAAGCTCCTTGTAGATGTGGCAGTTACATCTTTTTAAAGGCTATCTAGGCTGTGTGCGGTGGCACACACCTGTAATCCCAGCAATTTGGGAGGCCAAGACAGGCGAATCACGTGAGGTCAGAAGTTTGGGACCAGCCTGGCTAACATGGTGAAACCCGTCTCTACCAAAAATACAAAAATTAGCCGGGCATGGTGGTGGGCTCCTGTAATCCCAGCTATGCAGGAAGGCTGAGGCAGGAGAATTGCTTGAACCCGGAAGGTGGAGGTTGCAGTGAGATAGCGCTACTGCACTCCAGCCTGGGTGACAGCAAGCAAAAATCCATCTCAAATTAAAAAAAAAAAA